CAGTTTAAAAATCTTTTTTATAGTGCAGATACGATAACCTGTTTTTTAGTTTTAGTTTTAGACATTATCCGGTAATTCTCTCTCTGAGAAAAGGATAATTACCATTGTGACTTGAATGTAGCTAATGCTAGTATATGAGTGGCACAAACTTAGGCTACCCAGCACCCAAGAGTTAGCGGTTAGCTGGTGAACATACTGGAGCACTTGGAAGTCTGGTTAAACAATCTACAGTACAAAGTTTCTCAAACATCCCTGGATAATTGCTTACCTCTCTGACTAAAATGTAATGCTAATACTGATACATACAAAGCACAAACTGTTGCTAGCCTCTGCTAGCTCCAGAGGGAAATATGTAGCTGATTAGCTGCTAAATGTTTCACTTCACCTGGTTATCACCAATACTAACTTTGGCTGTCTGCTGTAGGTGCCAAAAACAGTAAAGTGCATCTACTTACGTGTGAGACGCTCGTGCTTGTGATAGCATCAGAAGAGTCCTCCTTGGCTGAGCTGTAATGTTAGCTAGCTCAGTGGTGCTAGGTTAGCTAGCAGTAGATGCACGCTTCCTTATGCATGTTGATATGTTTGGAGGGTGTAGTTTGGTGGACAGAAAATAGTTCCTACATGAAACTGCTCACAACAAGGTCTGTGGATTATCTTGAGTAACGAGGTCATGATTTCTGGAAAGAGACATTGCTGTTGAGTTTTTCAAATGTATTTTTGGCTCTTTGAGCACCACAAGCCGAGTGCCATCTAGTTAATTATGACAGAGAGAAGGTAGACATCTCCATGGGAAATATCTTCAGCACTCGGCAATTCACACCAAAACAATCTAGACTGATAAATAGCACCACAGATAAGAGGAGAAATAAGTATTTTTGATTTTGGGGTGCACTGTCCCTTTAAAAACCGAGGAACTGCTAAGGGGAAACAACAGACATATCAATATAATCAATTGTTAGCATAGAAATATAGATTATAGCTACTTAATTCAACAAGGAAACACAGGCCATTATAAAAGAAATGGTGACCAGTTGGATTGTTTACTATGATTTTACTCAAATCAGTGTGTTCCAGTGCAAATACAAGTCAGTCAGTAACAGTATTATTCCCAACCTGAACAATGTCCATCAGCAACAGTTAAGATCAGCTTATTCGTGGTAACATTTCAGACAGATAACGACACCTTGGCTTGCTACACCTCATTCAAGAGAGCTTTGTTTCAACTAGCACCTGTAGTTGAAATACTGTGTGTGTACATAGAGCATGATCACATTCTGCACAGTCCTCGGAGAAAAAGCATTCACGTTTACATGTACATCGGGTCACACTCGGGATAAAGACAGATCAGAGGACACAGTCCTCCAGGCTGAGAGGTCACTTAACATTTGAAAATGAAATGAGAGAAACAGGCATTAAGACCAGAGTCAGGGTTTCTATTTTCAAATAACTAATAATTAATTAGCTTTTTTTTACCTGACAGTTGATGGGTAGGATTTATCACAACTGACAGCACCATTAACCTGGTGCTTTCGCCAATATTGTGAGTTTCCTCATCTTGGAGGGTAGAAAAAAAACGGAATAATTATTTGAAAATAATATCAACCCCAGTTCATTCAAGACAAACACAGGCAAAATGTGTTAACAAAAAGTCATCAATGTGCACAGACCAGTTTGCATGCGTTTAGCCCAGTTGGATTTAGGGAATTTCTTTTTTATTACTGATTAATCTGATGAATATTTTCTCAATTAAATAACACCCATCCCAATTTCCTAAAGCCCAAGAATTTCGTGTTTTTCCAAGACAAGTCCAAAACCTCCAAAAATTCAGTTTACTTTCAGATCACACAAAGAAAAGCAGCATATTCTCGCAATTGAGATGCTGAAACCAGGATATGTTTAGTTTATTTAACTTAAAAAATGACTTCAACTATTAGAATTTTGATTAATCAACTAATTGTGTCAGCTTTTGTTCTCTAGTTGGGTTAAAACTACTTGCACCCTTGTTTAAGATGTTAAAAAACAACCTGAAAATTATTTAAAATGTGTGAAACATACATACGAATATGAAACAAGTGAAATGTGGCTGCATTTTGTTTGAACCACATTTAACGCTATGAACAATCACGGACATAAACGAGTGTCAAAAATCAAGGCAAATATAATTAATTATAAAAAATAAATTAATCAATAAATAAAGCAAAATAAATCAGGAATGAGCTTTCACATGCCACCAGGGCCTGCTTCACCTGTGAGCCACTCAACACTCGTGCATTTTGTTGCTTACATACTTTACAGCCCTCATTCTATCTTGATCAACAATTTATGAGGCAATTTACAGAGTTACAAATACAAAGTTCCCTTTTTAGTTTGGAGAAATGTTTCTCTGATGGGTTGGGATCCAAACAAGCTACACTGACAGGGTCACAAACAAAGAACGAACTCAATGTGGAATGAATGAGCTCTTCGATATATTTGGTCGTGATTTCCTGACAGTGTTTTCGGTCCCAATTCAAACCCAAGCAGCAGTGACATTCTTCGTAATAGTTCAGTTGACCATACAAAGCTCGAGACAGTGTCAGGCATTATTGTACTGACACCGTTTCAAGACTGTTGCTAATGCAAAGACGTACTCATATTATACAACAGCATCCCCCGTTCCTGGGAAATTACTGTGTACTACTGATTGGTGATGACAGGTGCTCGGTACGAAACAGGAATCCTTCAGCTACTAGCACAGGAGATTGGGTTATACAGATGAGTTCAAATAACACAACAAATTACAAATAAACAGAGACAGTGTTTTTGTCTTTTTTGACGATGGAAAAAAACCTGAAGCTTTACATTCATGATGCTTTCCAAAAAGTGCACTTCATTAAAATGCACAATCTTTAACGGAAGCTTGAAATTAAGAAACAAAAGTAAAGCTTTGTGAAACTGTCAACGCCTATCAAGCCATTAATCAGTTTATTTTCAAAGATAACATTTACATTTTAAAGGTTCTGTATGTAACTTTCAGAAAATCCTTGTTATTAGTGACACCCCTCTCTCTGAGGCCGTTAAATGAACTGCAGTTAGCATCCTGTTACTCCCGCTGCGGTGCTCGTACTCGGTAGCCACGAGCGAGCACCTGGGCATCGGCCAAAAAAGTGACAAACACAAGACTGACCGTGATTGGCCTCATAATGTTCAAACAAGGCTGGAAAATACATTTTAATCATATTTAGAATAACATTACTATCTGCAATGTTCCCACATTTTACTTGGACCATAGGGTGTCCCAGGAGTGAATTTGCGAAATCAGATGATAGCGAACGTCTGCCTCTGATTGGCTTACTCTGACATTCTTACACTTACCCTAACCATTCCCACTCCTCTTGTCAAAACCTAACCAATTTAACCAACAAAGGCAACAAGTACTCACCAATCATAGGAAGAGCAAGGTGCGTCATTCCTTTGCTATCCTAGGATTCACAAATTTGCACCCCAGGAATAAGTCCTAAAACCTGGAAAATGGGTAAGCATTTTCGTCCTCTCGGTTCCCTCTTCTCGAGGGTTTTTAGAATCGTTTTTTGGTTAGATGCCAGTTGTTATCGGTTACAGACGCAGCATGTGTACGGCCCCTTATGTGTCTTAAAAAGATGGTTGCTAACAAGTGGCTGAATGGGACTACAGAACATCATCATGCGTCATTTACAGCCCCATTGCAGCAGGGATGTCATACAACCATTGTGTAATTTGTTTATTGCCTAATGTTGACTTTTTACCTCTGGTGATTGCATTTACACTTCAAAAATCATAAAAGTGGTGTTCATTTGTGAAGATTATCTTGCTGAACAAAACGTGAAATTATCATACACGTTTGTTTGCCACAAAGCTTATTTTCTGCAATAATCGAAAATCCGATGGAAAAATCCCATAGGCTTTTTTAATCAAGAGAACCAGGGTGTCGCCAACTTTCGCGTCAGCTTACAGAAAAAAGCCATCCCTGGGGCACTCTATTGGCTGCATCATATTAAGTAGTTTGCCATCTGCAAATTACATTATCATCTGACATTTCAAGCAACTATGTAGAATGGGTAAATTATAAGCTAGCTGTCTAACATTAGCTCACGTTACAGTTGGCTTGCTGGCTGTCGCTGCATCACTCTTGACTAGTAGAAAGTGCACCATTACACCTTTCATTGTTGACTAAATCAAGACAGATTTTCAGAATACATAAGTTAATATCATGTATCATGTTAGCAGAAGTAAATTGGCAAGCTAGCCAACTGACACAAACACGCAGATACTATATTACTAGCAATAACATTACCAAGCAATCTAAGATAGCCAGCTAGCTGTAGGCCTAACCAATTTATGCTGTATTGATCTGGCATTGGTTGCTTCTTATCATTGGCTTATCAACGGCAATATAGCCAATTTACTAGCCAGATCAGCCCTGGAGTCCGGATGTACATGATGTTTATCTCCCAAGACAGCATTTTTGCTATGTTACCTTGCTAGTAAGTTGTCCATGTTAGCAAGCTAACATTGGCTAACATTAGCCAGCTAAAACAACAATATCACACTGTATTTCACATGTAAGCGCTTCGTCTAACATTAAAATTTCTTTTTAGTATTGAGGGGGACTGACATTATGATAGAGATGGTATGATAAAGTAGCTGGCAGCTCAGAACTTAGCCACAGTAGCAATTTAAATTCAACGAGCATAAACCTCAACCCTGGGGTTAACGGGAACTGCCCGTTGGTTCGACAGCCCATTGGTTCGACATCCCATTGTTCCGACGATATTAAACTCATTGTTCCGAAGTCCGTTACGAAATCATCATGATGCCCTGTGGTTAAGGTCTGGTTAGGTTTAGGCACAAAAACCACTTGGTTAGGATCAGGAAAAGATCATGGTGTGGGTTAAAATGAAAGAGAAAGTGACAAACACATAAGTCGTGAGCCTGCTCCGCCTCAAGCCGGTCGCGGCGCACCATACGTCCGCCGCGAACCGTTCAGCACCGTGGACAGTCGGACTAATGGGCTGTCGAACCAATGGGCTGTCGAACCAATGACATGGACCTGGGTTAACAGTGAGCTTGGTGGACTTGAGGCAGTCTGGGATCAGATCCTTGGTACTCGGTCTTGCACTGGCTGAATTGGGGTTGCTACAGGGGGCTAAGTGAAGGTCTGTCTCTGCCAGGCTGCCACCGTAAAATGTAACGGAAACATATGTGGACGCTGTTTTGGTGGGTGCCAGTTGTTTGTTGATGTTAGCGGACTTCATTTCTCAATTAACGTTAGCTACTGTTGCACATTATTAGCCCTGTAACAGAGCTAAATAAAAGGAAAGGCACTCGGGAGCACACTTAATGTCACATTCTTTGGATTTTCGGAAAAAAATTGGCCCAAGTCCTTTACATAAAAGTTAGTCCACAGGCTGTTATAGGCAACCGATAAAGTCAGGGTAAGTCTCGTTTTATAAGTTATGTTCCAACCTGTTCATCCATTGGCAATAATAAACTAATACTGATAAAAAAAAAAAAAAAAAGTTACATACAGAACCTTAAAATGACAAATGACAGGGTTTTTGTATAGCGAGAAGGGTTATTCTGTTCTGTTTCGTGTTTGCAGTTTTAGATGACAAATTTGGGGATTGTTATCACAAATGGCAATACAACAAATGTCAGAAAGGTAAAATATTCACAGCAAATGTTTTCCTGTAATTTTGTAACAATATGGGGAAAGGTGAGCCGTCCCCATTAAGTACTGATTAAAGCTAGAACAGATTAATTCTGTCAGTACTGACCCAGACCTGTAAGAATCCAAAGGCTAACAGCAGGGTCCCCTCCTTGTGTTGGGCCGGTGAAGGGCCGGGGCTGAGTTAGGACCAGAATCCAGGTCTGTAGCGGAAAGGTGAGTCTTTGGGAAAGCTGATTTCTGGTCTGCAGAGTGGGATGGTTCCATCCCGGCACTGTCCCTCATCCAGCTGATCCAACAGGTTTCCCTTCCTGCGGGGGGAGTAGGGCGTCGGGGCCTCCATGGGAGTGGGCAGCACTGTGGGGTCCCAACCAAACTCTACAGTTGGAGGAGTCTCTGTGCTGGAAGTGTGAGCAGGGGAATCACCATTACCAAGGTTTTGTCCATTTCCCCTGGGCCTTGCGTCCGCCCAGAACACATCACAGCGTGCCCTTGGTGAAGGCCGAGGCCGAGCCACAAAGTCGAGAGTTTTTGGGCGTTCAGGAGCACAGCGACGACGGGGAGTTGGAGGGAACACAAGATTTGGATCGGGAAGCCGGGGAACCTCAGGACAGTCTTCTTTTACACCTCTAAACCCACCTGTTGAGGTAAAAAGGAAAGAAAGAGGAAAAATATAGTTAGACAAATATTTTGGTTGGTCATTTCTTTTCTCAATTTATTGATAAATCGTTTGGTCCATAAAACATCATAAAATACTGAATAATATCATATTATAGTATCCAAGAAAACAAGGTTTAAATTTACTAAAGAATAGCAGCCATTTCTCACATTAGAGAATGTGGAACCATGAAAAGATGGGCAATTGTGCTTGAAAAATAACAAACAATTAACACTGGTGTAGGCAGTTCAATTTTGGTTTCATTCGGCAAAAACAGGGTCTACGAGAGAGTAAATAAACAAAATACAGCGTGTTAATATCGGCAAAGTGTTTCAGGGATGGAGAAAAAATGTTGCTAATAGTTTAGCCTTCTGCTAACCAGAGCCAAAGGCTCACAGCTGCAGCTTCAAGATCACATTTATGTAGCTAACGTTAGCTTAACCTTCAAATCACCCTCCGCCTCACTCCCTGCTAGTGTGGTCAAAAAGATATTTTTTAGCATTAAAAGGTCAAATATGAAGAAACAACATGATAAGTCCTGGACTTTAACATGTTATTCCTGACAATGTCATATATGTCTGTATTTTTCACTGCTGTATAACATCAAATCCTCAAATAAACTAGAATAAAAAACATCTGTATCAGTAGCAACCTTCAAAAATCCATTAAAACACAAAATCCTATGACTGATGAATGATCTGGTTTGAATTAGATAAGGGACAAGACTTAACCTGTGTTCTCTAATGCAGTTTTTTCTGGCAATGTTTCCAGATTATTAGGGAGGCAGCTCTTCTTGATGGCCCCATCTGATGGTATTCGACGCAGGCTACGTGAGGAACTTGGAGCAGATGGTACATGTGTGGGTGTGAGAGACTGTCGGGGGTTGCGCTTGAAGCTTTCGAGGTGGGTGTTGACCAGCGGGTTGACCGGTGTTTGGATGGCCTGAGGCTGTGAGAGAGGAGGAAGAGGATGCTGTTTGAGCGGTGTGGCAGGGCGGCAGACCAACAACTCCTCGCTGTCAGAGCGCAGCAGCGAGCGGGTGGAGTTGCAGTCAGACACTGATGATAAGGACAGCAGCGTGTAAGAGGAGGGCAAGTCGCGCTCAGGCAGCGGGGGCGCTGAGGGCTTCAGCGGGCTTTCCCGCCGGAACAGTCTGCGAGTCGGGGGGCTGGTGCTCCGCCTCTGGCCCCCTGTCCTGTGGAAGAAACCCTCCCACCGTGGTTTGATGCTCTCCTCTGGTTGAGCCAGAGTGAGCAGGTTGCAGCCCAGTCCGACGGCTGCCAGCAGAGCTCCACAGCCCAGCAGGACCAGCTCAGACCGCCGTCCCCCACCGGGGCTCTTCTTGCATGGCGGTGTTCCTGGAACCTGGCCGGTGGGGCAGTACTCATCTCCATCACCGTCAGCAGCAGCAGCAGCATTACCCTCCTTATGGAAGGGGATGCAGAGGTAGGACTGACCAGGAGCTGCTCCTGGCTCAGTAGTGAAGCAGCAGTCTTCATTTTCTACAAAAAGGACAATCCACATCTCAGTTTGCTTAATATGTACACGGAAGCACATAAATAAAAAACAGTATTTGTAGATGTATTCAGACATAACACTTCATGTTACACAGCAGACAAGCCTTGAATATCAGTTTCTCAAACATGAAACGCTGTCGGGCGACATTGGGCCTCATGCAGGAAGCGTTATACACACAATGTTTTTCTTATTTTGCTCTTATTCATTAATTTCTGCGATTCACAAATGTTTTCTTAACTTTGCTCTTTTCTTAGGTAAAAATTTTATAAGTGGTCAAGAGCACTCCTGTGAAGATAAGAAAAAACATCTTGTTTCCCAGTCCACATAGTGTTTGACCAACCCAAGAAAAGTTTTATATTTGAGAAACATATTTTTACATAGTTTGAGGTACTTTTACTTTACTTGAGTATTCTAATCTCATGCTACTTTCTACTTCTAGTCCACTACACTTCAGAAGGAAATACTGTACATTTTACTCCACTACAATTATTTCATAATTGTAGTTATTGGTTACATTACAAATTAAGATTTATGCAGACAAACCACATTAAAGAGCTGAAACGATTAGTCGATTGATCACAGAAAGATTTTGCCTACTGTTTTAATTAATTTATGATGCAAAAACATCCAAAAACAGCCTATCCCAGCTGACACTGGGTGAGAGGCAGGGTACACCCTGGACAGGTCACCAGACTATCACAGGGCTGACACATAGAGACAGACGACCATTCACACTCACATTCACACCTACGGACAATTTAGAGTCACCAATTAACCTGCATGTCGGACTGTGGGAGGAAGCTGGAACACCTGGAAGAAACCCACGCTGACACAGGGAGAACATGCAAACTCCTCACAGAGCTTTACATTTTTGTGCATTTCATTACTTTTAATTTGAATACCTAAGTATATTTTCCCGATTGTACTTAAATACGTTTGCTCAAGTAAGAGTTTCAGTGCAGGACTTTACCCAGTAAAGGATCTGAATACTTCCTCTACCACTACTGCTTTCACTGCATTTACAGCATCACAAATGTTTTACCATTGCTGTACAGATGTTCTGTTCAACACCAGCACCGATTCTCTGGAAAATCAAATTTCCTGTTTTAAGTTTATTTAACAGTACACTGATTTCAGTACTGCTTTAGTTCTTCTGCTTGCAGCCTTTTTTGGTGGCACCTCTCCAATCTTGGGCTTTTGCCAGAGTATTTGCACATGGCACTACACCTGCCCTTATATAGTGCGGACCAGGTGATCTTGCGATGTTCTGCAACGCAAGATCACCTGGTCCAACATCTGGAAAGCAGACTTACATCGCATCAGGTTCTTAGTCCAGGCTGTTTATGACGTCCTTCCAAGTCCAGCCAACCTCCACGTCTGGGACAAAACCGACACACCATCCTGTCCTCAATGTTCAGGATGGGGATCCCTGGAACACCTCCTCAGCAGCTGCCCAAAAGCGCTTGCAGACGGGCGCTATCGCTGGCGCCATGACCAGGTACTTAGGGCAGTTGCTGACAGCATAGCTACAGCCATCAACACCATCAAGGGGCCACCATAAGCCAAAGACCATCATGTTCCACAGAGCCGGAGAGAAGCCCAACATACAACCACGGGCAAAGTCAGGCCTCCTCACCTCTATCACTGACTGGAGACTGTATATTTTGAAGCACAGTGAATTCCTGGCACAGAGCTTTTATTTTAAAGTGCCATTTTCTCTTGACAGCTACTTGACAGAGTTAGCAAACTTGCTCAACTGCATGGCTAAACACAAGTATGATGTTGAATATATGAAACTGTGTGGACCTTGAACTAATGACTAAGAGATATTTGGACCCTGTGGCTGGACCAGTTGGGTTTAGGGAGCGTTACCTATACTAATTGTTAATGATGATCACATGGGATTCATCATTCAGGACACCTGAGAACAGATTTGGATTCTTAAGAACGTTTGGTGCATCGGGGTGCCTAGTAGCTCACCTGGTGGAGCAGGTGCCCCATGTACAAAGGCTATGTCCTTGCTGCAGTGGCCACAGGTTCAATTCTGATCCCCTCCCCCTTTCACACTACTACTGTTCTATCAAATAAAGCCCAAAAAGAACAATAAATGGTGTTTGGTGCATCTGGAGTTGACTTCTCTTATTTTTTCACTTAACACAAAATTAAGAGAACACAGATAAATTTAAGAGAACGTCGCTGCACGAGGTCCATTGCCACTTAAATTCCATCCTTCTAAGTTTGTTTTGCTGTCGTGATGATGCTTTTTCAGGATCAGTGTGTTTATACTCACACAGCTACAAACATGCACATCTGTGAATTTCTCCGGTCAACCACTAAGAGCCATGTGGCACTGAAGTATCTCACTCACTCACTCGCCTCCCCCTTCCATGTTTTCCCTTCTCGTCTGCCACTTTGCTAACTTTAAGACTACAGCCGTGTTATCATGTGGAGTGTGCACACTGTGTGCCAGACATAATAAATATAATAAGCTGGTCCTGCTCACCCATCTCCACAAGGCTTGGCACTCCAGGCACTGCTGGACTGTGTCTCGGGGATCTGCGAAGGTTCGGGGCGCTGCAGGACCGCTGCCTGCTGCCTTCATGGGGAGGCTTTACACTGTCATGGGGGAGAGGATGAAGATGGATTTAGCTGTGAGTGGTATCTTTGTCATCTTCATGTGAACTGACCTATTTATTAACTGAAAACATCAAGGTCATCTGGAAAAAGTCTGTAAGGACTGTTTTTAGACTCACCTTGCGTCAGCACTGTGCTCCCTGTATGGGCCACACCCTTGGGATCTGCCCTTTTTCCTGGACCCTTTCCTCTCACTCTCCTCTTCATCTTGCAGAAAACATGTGCTGCGACCCCAGGCTGTACATCCCTCCCGCGGGGTGACTGCAATGGAGAATGGATATCAAACATTAAGCCTGTAATCAATGATAATTGAACAGAGAAAACCAAGTGAATTTAGACATCCTTGGTAAAAATGATCAATTAAATCAAATCAGATATTAAATTTAAGATTCTAATGCTACTTACGTTGGATGGCTCTCAGGCGGGGCAGCATCGGCGGACTGCTCGGAGGACTGGAGCTGCTACTGAGCAAACTCCTCCGCCGATCATGTGAGGGAGAAGCCTGCACTGTGATTTTGTGCTGAAAATCTACATGGAGGATTTTTTTAAAAAAAAAATCACATATTAACATCTGAGCAACATTAGAAATCTGACACAATTATAAGAAAATCTAATAAAACTGAACATCGAAAAGCTGCTATATGACCATCTTTTTTTTGTAACGCCGCTGTTGCTTTTCCATGCCATGATCCACTGAGATCTCAGAGTTAATAATATTTCAGTCAGGACCACTTTAGTTAAAGACAGTTTTACATTTGGCAGTATGGCTCTGTCATGAGCACATCTCTCTGCCCTTCCATGTGCATATGAGGAAAGCCTGGGGCAGAGAAAGCAAACCTCTCTGCTCTTCCGTTTGCCTACATGGAAAGCCTAAGGCAGAGAGAGCACACCTCTCTGCCCTTCCACACGCCTACATGGAAAGCCTAAGGCAGAGAGAGCACACCTCTACGCCCTTCCACACGCCTACATGGAAAGCCTAAGGCAGAGAGAGCACACCTCTCTGCCCTTCCACACGCTTACATGGAAAGCCTAAGGCAGAGAGAGCACACCTCTCTGCCCTTCCACACACCTACATGAAAAGTCTTAAGGCAGAGAGAGCACACCTCTCTGCCCTTCCACATGCCTACCTGTAAAGCCTTGAGGCAGAGAGAGCAGCAGCAAAGACCCCCCAGAGACAGAACAGAGCAGCATCAATGACAAACAGAAATGACATTGATAAGACGGACACAACATAAAAAGGAGGAGCTGGGTTGCAAAGCAGCTTGCAGAGGAAGCAGCAACAGGAGGCAGGACAGAGCAGTTTAAATAGTGTGCCCTGAATAAGATTCGCCAAATGGTTGGAATCATGCGATCAATCAGTTGATCCATCAGTTGATTGGCTGCTTGGGATCAGCTGAGTTTCACATTGTGTCCTAATGCTATGCTCAATATTAACCTCCTCAATGGTTACATCCCACCCTTGGGCAGCCCTGTGGTGCGAACAACACTCCACCACTGACCAAACCAACCACAAAAGACACCTTTAAAACAATCAAATCCATGGGATTTATTGACATATAATATGCAAACAACACAATAAAAATCCCAGGCTGCGACCTGCAGTCCTCACGCCAGGGGCCCCTCTCCTCTGCTGTTAGCACAGGAGCTCTGAAGCAACTCCTTCCCAGACCAGGTGCACCTCGCCTAGCAATGCACCTCATTAGGCAAAACAGCACAGGAACACACAGCCGTAACACAAGTGGTGCCAAGTTTATGTTGACATTATGCAAATCCAGAAGTTCTATACAGTCTGATTTCTCTGGTGTGTTCTCTGGTACAATCCTCCAGTAACACACAAAATACACAAGGAAGTGTGTGAATGGTTCCATCCATGACGTAGCCGTTGTCTACAGGAATGCATGGTTAAAAAGCAAGTACATCTGTGGCCTAACAAGAGTGTTGATACTTAAAGAGATTTAATTCAAACTAGAAGTGGGTATGATATATTTCTGAGAAGGCGTCATTTAAATTAAAACATGATTATCATGATGATGACAATTCCAAAGTGTTGTGCATACTGTTGACCTACACAGCAGCACCACAGTTTGTTTGAGGTACCTGAAGGCAAGCTGATCCTGTTCCCGTCCTTCAGTTTAAGGCGGTTGCGGCGGAACTTGCCCTGCCTGCTCTCCACGTGAGGCTTTTCCTGGTAGAGCTGGTGAATGATGATGTTGAGCTCCCGCTCCAGGATGTGGATCTCCCGCTCGGCTAGTTCCTGCTCGCGCCTCCTCAACGCCTCCTCTTGGCATTTCTGCTGCAGTGCGGCTTGGGTCAACTCCTCCTCCCACGATCGCAGCTCCTGAGGGAACAAAAAGGTGGAAGAAAAAAAGATGAAACCTTTGAAACATTTCGACAACAAACTCCAAACCTCAAACTTCCAGTACATACAGTAGAAGTCTGTTGGCACACACGTAGTCGGGAGGATCAGTCTGGAGTCCGACACAGACACCTATCTTGTCGTCAGACAGCGATTTTCCGACAGGGAAGGCGTTAAATCAGTCACTTCAAAGCTAGACCCCATTAAGAAAAACAGTAATTTGACATCACTGAACACAGGAGCTGCTGGTCTACCTCTGCCTCCATGGGCGGAAGTTGTGGATGGTACCAATGGAACCGTTCTGTACCGTCCCCATGTTTGGTCCCCCCTCTGTTGGGGTACCTAGCACACAGATCTGGTACTAAAAGGTGAAGCTGTGAACACTGCAGTCTGTTGATTGGTCAGTAGAGGACGGTCACTCTGCTCAGGGCTGAGTTGTGTCTGGTTGACAACAACCCCGCCCACATTTAAGAGTACTGTTTGTGGTGGAAACGCTAGGGTCTAGGTTCCATGTCTGAAGGGTTACTTTAGGTTCCAAAGGTACAAACGGGGCTTTCGTTTCTATTTGTGATCATTTTGAGTCTTCCTAGTGGGTACGTGTTAATTTGACATTTGACATTTTACAGTGAAGGCCTGAGCCTGTGCCCGGAAGGTCCGTTCAGTAATCCATCCATGGCTGCCTCGATCAGTTTGTTTTGTGGTTTGACAGTGGCATTTTAAAGGGTTAGTTAGTTCTGATTAAACAAAGTCACACAATAACGCAAACAAAATAACCGATCGAGGCAGCGGTAGACCAGCTGCTCCTGTGCTCTGTGAGGTGAAAATAGCTGTTTTTGTCAATGAAGTCTGGTGGGGGGGAAGATGGGAAATTGAAGCTGGCTTCAATGTCAGGATAGGCTTTCTGACAGAAAGGTAAAGCGGTGAAAATACTCTCAATATAGCATACGCTTAAACTGTCTTGGACTTTTTACGGTGGCTAGAATACGTTTTGATGCTGCCCCGTCCACAGCAGCACATTGCTCAGCTTCTGTGTCGGCACTCCAGCCTGTTTCTCCAAACTAGGGATGTGCCAACAGCCATCTACATAAACTATCCCTTTAAGAATCTCTCATGTTTACCTTCTCCTTGGTCCTCAGTTGATCAAACATTTCCTGGATCTCCAGTTTCCAGTCATCCTGCAGAGAGTGGAAGGACTCTGCTGGCATCTCAAAAAAGCCTGACTCCTCGATGGCCGTCAGCTGGTCCAGAATACTTGTGAACTGCGGCCGGGCGTGAGGGTCTGGGCTCCAGCATTCTGTGGCACAACATGAAAAACTGTCTCAAAAACTTGGGCCAATTTTGCCTCAGTTAAAATTCATTTTGGCCCTTCAAATGGTTCCAGAAAGTGATAATATGTTCTGTTTAATCGATGCTACTCGCTTTTATTTCAGAGGCTTTTCTTGCTTACTTACTTTTCTACATGAATTTAATAAAAATGTTCAATGACATCTTTCTGGCACATAAACTGACACTTATTTTGCCTGTGGCTCTCCATGACAAAAGGTTTGGACACAGCTTTGCAATAACTACATGATATTTCCATCCAATTTGGAGGATGACGCTTTAATAACATTTAAATCAGAAAAGTTTTTAAGTTCCCCTTACCTTCCATGAGACGTGCAAAAGGCTCAGGACAGGTCAAAGGAATGGGCAAAGCCAGCTTGTTCATTGCCACTCCATAAGCTACAGCGAGGCCATCGATTCCCCGAAATGGAACTTCTCCTGTCAGCAGCTCCCACAACAGCACGCCATAACTTCATTGTTAAAAGAAGGGAAAGAAAAACAGAGAGAACAGACGCTGCATGAATCTAAAAATAAGCATAAATACAATTTGGATATACACCCTCCAAAAACGTGCTTCCCCTATGTTTCATCCTGCATATCCTCCTTAGATAAGGGGCTTGGCATAAAGTGTAAAAACACCTATTGCACAATACAAAACAATCTGGTTCTGAAGATAAATATGTGTATGAATATATGAATGTCAAGCAGGATGTTTGCTGAAAAATAGTGCGCGTCTACAGCGAAGCACGCTGTCTGAATAAATGTCAAAAAGGGGGATTGGAGTGGCATTATTTTGCACTCGTGTACAAACTAAGGTGAGATAGAAAAGGTCAACATAAGAATAACTCGACAGAGTAGTGCAGCCGCTGACAGATCCACGTGACTAATGGCAAAACCACACACTGATGCACTGTGAGGCAATGACCAGTAATACATGAATTAATCCAGGTATAAGTGTGTTCAGATAAGAGAGTTATGGATTCTATCTATCCTAACAATGTTACTGATACTATTCTTTCTCACACCTTCAACTCAAACCATTGTGTTGCCCCGCTCAAAATGTATCATTTAATAATTACATTAATATCGTAAACATGTGAGCGACGAGTCAACTAATGGCCCTAAATGATGACTGTTGGTCGACTAGGAAAATTCTTAGTCGGAGAAGGCAGCCCTAGTTATAATGCATCTCTTTGCTCTCTCACAGATTACACACTGTTTTAGAGGGAAACCTCACATTCAGTCTGGAATATCTGAGCTGGACACTTAATGCTACTGCGTGTGTGAGGACAACACAAGAAAAGAAACGTGAGAATAATGACACACGGCAGTAAAGCAAGGCATCATTGCTACTACTGAAAATGAATCAGATCAGATACATACTTAGATATTCCCATATGCTACGTCATCTTTGCTATTTAAAACAGGGTGATCCAAATTCTTTAGACTGAACTACATGCGCCAGCAATAACTGGGTTTCCATCCAAATGTATCGCAAATTTTAAGCTAATTTTGTGAAAATACGCAAAAGAAAATGCGAATATATGCACATTTCCATTCATTATTGTTTTGGGAGTATTGGGAGTCGAGGTCGAGCAGTAGGTGGCGCTTCTCGTGACAAATAAAAATAAAAATGCAAAAGAACACCCGTAGAAGAAGAGGGCGCCGTGAGATCCCGTCATTGAGAGCATCTCATGTCCACAATTGATGTAAACAACTACCAGCACATCCATGACTACGACGAGATGGAGAGATTCCTTGGAAACTTCTTGGCTATTGTGAGAGCTCTCATCACACTCATATCAGCGTTGTCAGCGTACATAAGTGTCCTGAAAAAGAAACGAGAAAGACTACACTCACTGACCAGAGCGGACCAGATCAGACAGTGGAACGGAAGTGAAGTAGAAGTAGGATCCGGTAGCCTACGTCATCGTTTATTCGCTAAATCTGTTTCCATTGCCAAAAGTTTTCCTAATATCGATACGCTGACTTTTCCACCCCCTCCAAGCGTAAAAACTTTTTTGCGATATTTCTGGCTTTTCCATTCAAGCTTTTTTTTTTGCAGTTGTTGAAAATGCAAATAAAAATAGGTGGATGGAAACCCAACTATTATCACTGCGCAGAAGGAAACGTGCATCTACTCATGGACGAGAGGCTTGTGCTCGTGAAAGTGCGAGATGTAAACATCAATCACTCCCTTTTGCTTGGTGAGTTGGCGGGTGTAGTTTGGTAGAAAGAAAATAGTTCCTACATGAAACTGCTCACAACAAGGTCTGTGGATTATCTTGAGTAACCGGATCATGATTTCTAGAAAGAGACATTGCTGTTGAGTTTTGTAATTTTTGGCACTTTGAGCACCACTAGCTGAGTGCCATATCATTCCATTATATTTGAGAGAAGGCAGACATCTCTACGGCCGATAACTCCAACACTTGGCATCAGAACAATCTAGACTGATAAATAGCACTACAAGTGAAAGGAAAATGTGTACATTAGATTTTGGGATGAACTGTCCCTTTAAGTTACTATTAAATGTTTGAAACAAGAGACACATCATATCATTTCATGCTGCCCATGTACACAAAGCTCATGTTGAATGTATATGCATCTGTGCTCTTTAGCCTCATCTAGTTTGTACCCATCTCATAAAACATAACATGCTGTTCCTTTTCCCACTTGCCAGTCTGTGCTTTGTTACTATAGCAACTGCTGCCAGAGCTGAACTTTTTCTTGTGCATGATGAACACACTGATTCTGTCTCTGGCTCTGTTTTCAGACCACCTGGTGCAGTTTGTTTGCTGCATAAACCCCCTTTCCTCTGCCCACCTCCAAACGTCGCTACCCTTGGAGAACGTAGACGAGCGGATGACTTCGGGGGCCATCCAGGCGTAGGTGCCGGCGGCGCTCATCTTGGTGGTGCGGTGCCACTCTCGGGCCAGCCCAAAGTCTGTGATCTTCAGAGTCTTGTTGCTGAGGTCTTCCATCTCGACTCTCTCGAGGATCAGGACTGGAGTGGAGCAGGAGGTGATGATTTTGTTTGGATGATGGGGAGGAGGGTTGGAGGATGTAGGGGAGTACGTGCAGATTGGCAGGTAGGTTGGCGGTGAGGTAAAAAGATATCAGGTAGTCATCACAGGGATTGTAATGTCGGGAGGGGCAGCAGCAAGAGGAGGATCAGACCCACGATAAAACAAAATGCATGAACGCAAAACAGGGTGGATGAACAAAACAGGGTGCAGTTGGTGGGAGGCCATGATGAAAGGATTGGAAGGATAAAAGCAGAGTAGAGAAAGAGAGAGAACAAACAGAGAAACGAAGACACAGTGAGCCACTACAACAGAGGTAAGCAGAGATGAAAAACAGCGACCTTGATCAATGCTAATGATCTCACTGCATATATTTACAACACAACATCTCAAACAAACACCAATACTACAGTTAAACTACAGACACAGCCCGTTACGACACACACGCTTGCTCTGATAGGCTCTAAAAAACAACCCATTCCCAACATGCGCCGAGCAGCGCTCCTCCTAACCACATGCTTTCTCTCTCCCCCATTCAGCTCCACAATGCCAGGCCATCTGCTGTGGCTGTGCCCAGTGGAGAGGGTGTGTCTGCAGGCTGCGGTGCACATCAAGCGCCCCCTTCATCTGCTGCTCATGTGGCTCTAATGCTACACAGGCACTTTCCAAAGACACTGAAACCCAAACATGTGGCTAAAGTAAATCCTGCTCCTGTAGAACATGAAACAAACACAGCTGATTCCCCCTGAGGCCGATCATGCTCCAAATGTATGCACTCACTGTAATGCACCGTGCTTTAGATAAGAGCATCCACTAAATGGCATGTTATGTGAAAGGGAGGCAGCGGAGACGGCTGAAAGGTTACTGAAAGGTTTGAAGGTACAAAGAAAACAAAAGCGTTGTCTGTTTACTAAGTAGGTGGTATACAATTAAATACATAATAAGTTGCGCTATCACACAACTTTTGTTTTTAAAGCACGAGTAACAGCTGCAGGATTTATAGTTTCTCATATTCCCATCAGCAAAAGGAGGCATGTTATGTCAGAGTTGCTTTTAGCACAGACTGTACAAAAGAAGCGGACGTAGCCACTGTGACGTCACTCACTGGTTTGTGGACGACCACTCTGAAGCCTCTAGTTCGGCATTCTGGCCAACGGCGTCATAGTTTTTGGAACCAGAAGTGACCATATTGGGATGAGAGGGTGGAACTGTGTCACAAGGTAGCCACACTCTAAAGCATACCCTGCTTTATCATCTATTTTACACTAAACAGGACCATAATTTATAAAATGAACATCATGCTGTATTGGAGAAGACTTGAAACTAGTGATTGAGACTATAAACTCATAGGAAAATGTTTATTGAGGTGATTAATCAAGTGAGAAGTAGGGCCTTCTATACTAGTGGTCCTCAAATGGTGTGCCGTGGGATTTTGTGATAACCACACATTATTCTTGCAATATTCAACTGGGCCTATAAAAAAAGTTATGAATGAATTCTTAGTAGTCTGTATCAGTATGTTGTGTGCACCCATTTCCTAACAAAGAGGCAAACTCTACCTGAAAAAAAAAAAGTAATTTAAATTTATCTAATTAAAAAAACCTCAAAGGGGAACCTATTCGCACCATTCACACATAGGAATTATAAGTGTGTGACACATCATAAGCCCTGATTGGCAGCCAGTGTGAGGGATGATAACATTTAAAAGGAGAAAGCCGTGAGTGGGACAATGGATCACTTTATTGTACCAGTGAGGACGACCTACCACCAAAAGAAAACAGAAAAAAGAGACAGTCAGTTGACAGTATCATGAAAGGGGTGCCTTGAGATTTACCGATATGCCGATGACGTACCGATATTATCGTGCATCCCTAACTACAGTTAAAATTTTGACCTGATGATAATGATGATGCTAAATGAAGAATGAGGGGATCAGCAAAGTTATTACAAATAATCCTGTGGGGGACTGTGTCCACCAGATTTCTAGGGCTGTACCCAAATTTTGTCAACTAAATCGGATTTGGCTGTTCAATACGAATATTTGACTGTTTGTTTCTTTTTTTCATCCAGACTATCAAGAGACACCTTATTGAACTGCCAGATATTTGAACAAAGTTCGGCAGGATGTTCAGGATGACAGCAACATTCACGTAGTGTTGTAAATTAGCCAAGTTAGCCCCCTGAGCTAATGCCTGCTAACCACGCTAATGATGGATCAGGAATGTGAAACAAGACTGTATCGTATTAAGCTGTTGTGAGGTGTAAATTCAATACTTCAAAGCAGAAGATGGAAAACAACATTATCTCAAATCTGACCTATCAAAGCCTCTACTTCCTCCAGGTGTGCAGCTGACTGTACCCATCACACACATCATCACTGAGCGGACAGGATGACATGATGTAGTGTAATAGTTTTACACAAGGAGCGCTCACTCTCCACTGAGCACACACTGACTGACAACCCACCCGAATCCATTGCAATTCATCCAATATATGTTGAGATATTTCAAACTAAGACACAATCATTAACCTCACAATGGTGCAAGAGGGAAAATCAGAGGATCCCCAAAGCGATCAGGATTCATCCTCTGATATTTAATGTCAAACCATCCAACAGCTGGGATATTCAGTCTGGACCAAAACGGTGGAACGACTAATTGACAGACTTGTCATCCCCACACCCACACGGCTAACAAGTCTAAAAATTAAATGCCCTCTTTATGAGCCTTTGAGAAAAAAGTTCCACAGCAGCTTGACTTTGTGTCTTTTTTTACGGACTGAGCTTCACAACACTGCTGCCGACCACTTCACTACCACAGTGATGCGTCACAGGGTGAGGTCACAGTGTGCCACATCCGGAGCGACTTCTATAACCCCTGATTAGACCCAGAGTTTCCTCAACTAAGGACGCACTTCACATGAAAATGGAGTCATGTGGTGTTTTCTTAAACTGATGCAAATATAGGTGTGAAATATGCCCTAATTTAATTCTATATAATGCACCAAAACTCCCGCTTTGCTCCAGAAAAAAACAACAAAAACAAAAGAATGACACACTGGTTTTTATCAAATAAACCTGAGATGCTCTTTTACATCTTTGGACCTAAATTTGGGCTCACAGGCAACAAAGGACAGAAAGCTCAGGATTAAAAGTAAAAGTTAAATAGACTGGCACGCTGCATTGTCCTGCACTGTGAGGACATGCATGGGTTTCCCCCTCAGAGCCCAGGATGGCAACTAGTTAGACTGACTTAACACGTTAAAGCAGCCTATTGGAAGTGAAGCAGCTGAGCTGATCATCAGAGAATGGGCCAATGGCAGGCAGGAAGCTGTTTGTATGTATCGTCAGAGCCTCCAATAGAGAGCAGGCTGGGGCAGAGCGCTGGGCAAATCCTCAGTAATAGGCTTGGGATTTAGGGGATCCAGTTGGGTAAAATGCAAGATTACAACTGCTCCACAAACATACATGCAGACTCCTTTTGCTTTCTGCTGTCTTTTCTGAACGGTGATTATTATCACTACGAATCACAGTGTGTTGCAGAGAGCACGGGCTGAGCAAGGTGTTGATTAATTATATGTGAAAGGTACAATAAGTTCCACAGCCAAAATAAAATAAATTTGCGGGAGTCTGACAAGGTTGTTGATCAATATTGTGACCCTGGCTTTAAAAAAGAAAAGTTTTCTGTCCTGTATTTGGGTTGAAAACAACGTTCCCTTTTGTATTTACTAAACACTTTTCCTCTTAAGACAGAAATGGCTGCTGTGAGTATCCATAATTATATTACAGTCCATTACAGGATACTATAAGTTTTGCCACAAGCCTGATGATACTGCAATTTCTTTATTCCTTATCCAGCTGATAAATGTTTCACCTTAAAAAATTGCAAAAACCACAGAAAAGATACTGAGGACTAGGGCTGTAAACAATTATTATTATTAATATTAATCAATTTGTAGTTTACCCTATAATTGACAGAAATATTGAATGGTACAGAAGTTTCTAGAACCCAGAGTGGTGTTTTAAAATTGCTTGCTTATGTCTGACTAAAAACCCAGAGTAAATCTACACTAATGTAAAGCAGAAAAATGAAACCATTTTAAACTTATTTGTCGATATACAGAAACTTAATCACCAACTATTGTGATATTATTGTTTTTTAGTTTAAAGGGTGACTTTGGTATTTTTCAACCTGGACCCTATTGTCCCATGTTTTTGTGTCTAAGTGACTGATGGGAACAACAATTTTTGAAACTGGTCCAGTATTGATTGAAAGGGCTGCAGCCAGCAGCTGTGAAACAGGCTGCAATGTAAACACCTGGGGCAATTGAGCATCATAATTTTACATCCATTAAAAGTGCTTCTGCCACTGACAGGCTCAGATTACACTTCTAAGTGTCTGACAACATTATGTACAGGTTCCCTACATAAACAGACCTCTTTATTAAAGAGCAAGATCATTTTTGTTTAACAAGAAACAGCCCACCAGGCTCCATTTGAAAAAATAGCAATTTTATAACTGTAAAACACACCTCATTCAAAGTCCACTGATACAAAATAAAACTCACAAAACCCATCTTGGTTCATCTTTCCACTGTTACAATTAGTTACTCTGGTTTGGCTGAAATAAACACCTTAATCCACCCTCTTAGATGTGAAAATATGCTGACTCTATACACGCTAAAATTGCTGTTTATTTAAATGGAGTCTGGTGGGTTTGGTGATGGTGATTTCAAGGCTACTTCTTGTTAAACAAATGGACCGAACTCTGTTCAAAAAAAGGGCTCTCTCTGTAGGAATCCTTTCTATAATGTTGTCAGACATTTAGAATAACAATCAGAGCCTGTCAGTGCAAATGGATGTAAATTGATAGTGCACAAATGCCCCAGTTGGTTGCATTGCAGCCTGTTGAGCGGCTGTCGACTGCAGCAGTCTCGCTCAATACTTGACCAGTTTCAAAAATTGTCGTTCCCATCAGTCACTCAGACAAAAAAAATGGGAAAAGGAGTCCAGGTTGAAACATACTGAAGTTACCCTTTAAGCCATTTCGCTATTATAAAATGTTAAATATTCTCTAGTAGGAGCTTCTCAAATGTGAGAATCGTTTTTTCTGTTGTTTGTATAATGATAAATTCAATATCTTTGAGTATTGGACTGTTGGTCAGAAAAAACAAGCAATGTGAAGCTTTTTTTAAGATGAAATCCAAGAAATAATCACCAAATCAAAATCATTTCATCCTACATGCTATTCTTATTAAAATCATCATCAAAATTAGAGCTGATTAATGTCCTCTTATCAAAAATCAATCATCATTTTGGGAGAACTCCACAAAACAACTACCACCATGTGACGTGACAGAAGAGACTCTTACTGTTGCTGGACTTGAGGTCTCTGTGAATTATGGGGACGATGGCCTGACTGTGGAGGTAGAGTATTCCCCGGGCGATCTGCACGGCCCAGTCCACCAGCGTGCACGGAGGGATGCGTTTCCCAGCGAGGGCCCTGTTGAGGGGCCCACCCCGGGCGTACTCCATGACCAGACACAGGTTGGGCTCCTGCAGACACACCCCCAGCAGACCCATGATGTTGGGATGGTTGAGCATGGCGAACAGTTTGGCCTCCTGACGCACACTCTCCAAGGTCTGCTCTGGATCCTCGTCAGGGTCCCGTCGCGCTGCCTTCACTGCCACCTCTGAGCCCCGCCACACTGCGCGGTAGACCTTTCCAAAACCGCCCACCCCGATGATTTCCTCCAGGGTCAGCTCTGAGAAATCAATCTCCAGGACTGAGGAGAGACGCATGAGAAGACAAAGATGAGATTCAAACAGGCAAACAAAGAAGAACCCGCATTCCCCCCAAAACAATTACAATCCTCTATTGATTTCCACAGAGCTGTTACGTATTTGCACAGAGCCGTCCAAGGACGTTAAAGGTCAGAGTCTGCCTGTCTGGAGCTGGTGAGGAGCGACTGTTTTCCTCTTGAGGAAGGCAGACACTTGCTAACCAGGACCTCAAAATCAGGTCATTGAGTTGGAGGATGCTTTCACTAAGCCACCCTGCTGCCCCACATACAGACTGTGGTGGAGCTACCCCTCCTGCTATTACACAAGGGTGAGCATCTGTCCTCAAATCTGGCTTCGAGAAGGAAGGACGGAAGAAAGACACGAACGATGGGTAGAAAAGATAATCCTGTCCTCTTAAAATGTAAGGTGTGATGCTGTGAAGAGGAGCCTTTGTGTCTGTCGCTGTAAACTCTCATGTTGTGGATTCTAACAGTCTACCAAGCAGACTGACCTTGATGAATATTTCAGGTGGGATGGTGTGTGAAAGTAGGCCAGCTGCTGCTGAGAAGGAAGAGATGGAAGCCAACAAAGACAGCTGAGGCGGTGTGGTCCACCCAAACAAGCAGGGCCTTAAAACACACGCTTTATCAGCCTGTTTGTGCCGATACACACAATAAACAGAGGATTTGTAATTATCTGTGGAGGTCTTTTTAAAAGGCAGAGCATCCTTGCAGACATGGATGGATTACTGAACAGGCCTACAAGGCCCAGGCCCAGGGCCCAACATGTCAGTGGCTTCCCTCATCTTCAACTGTTAGGTGTTACTCAAGTTAACACGTACCGCTGGTTCGCTTTAATCTAACTCAAGTGTGGGCAACAGTTTGTTTGGGCAGGTGTGAACACAGCAATCACACTCAGGTGTGCACCAAAACAACTGGACCGAGACCTTCTTGAAGAGGTGGTCTCAGTCTGGTTACAAACAAACTCTGGTGCGGTTCGTTTGTGGTGAGAACGTGTTCCGACCTGGATGTGAAGCAACTGCAGTCACATGACACATTGTTTGGGTTAAACATGAGCATGTTACAGTCCTGGAGGATTATTAATGTGCACCTCCTCCTGTACTGCCTTAATATGCACATTCAGCACATCCAATGCATCAAAACATTGTTTTCTAGTTGGAGCCGCGCCTCGTTTTCAAACTGTATGGTTTGACTAAAATGAACAATGACAGCAATATAGTCCACGATGAGCAGCGCTAAAATCAACCTGCGTAGTTGTCCCTCCATTGTGACATTAGAAAGTGTCACATTTATCTTGCAAGTGTACTCTTCTTCAACGTTTGCTTTACTTCCTGGATTTTACCCACATGGAAATTCTGACCAATCAAGAGCAGCTTTCTCGCACAAGGCGTTTTGTAAATGCTGCCGTGAGAACACGAACCAGCTCGAGGCAATTATACAGCTTTGGAACAAAATGAGTCCCTGATTCAGACCAAAGGACACGACTCTAGGTCTGAAAGCACCTTCTTGCTCTGAGGTGAAGGGGCCTTTTGCAGATCAGGGGCCCACTGTCTCATTATCCGCCCATGCTTGTGTCTCACTTTGGATCCCACAGTGCAGTGCACTATGGGTGGTTTTCTGCTTACTCCATCTATCTGAGGCCTTGGCTGCACATTTAGCTGCAGAAGCTTTTTCTCTACAAGCACAATTGGGCACAATTTCAGTCTCTTGCAGCACACGACCAGTCACAGTGGAATTTACGCATATCATACCGATGCATCACAAAGCTTCATATGATACCTAATGATGTTGCAGATGCATGTGCAGTTACATATTCACTCTGCAGAGGATGCTTTGTAATTTGAGGCGGGGTGCACCCACCACTGGCCGCAGCTGGCTGTCTGTTTGACAGGCAGTGTAATGAATAATGGTCCTGAAGCTGTGAGGATGCCTGGGCCAGCCTGTTTCTAGGCCAACAACAGGAGTGCACTGCGCCTACCATGACACAGCACTCTCAGCGTGCTGGCCCTCTGACAAAAGACAAGCCAAAGACACAACAGCTCCGTGCTCTGCTTTACTGATGGCACACTGATCTCCTGCAGGACTGAGGCACAATGGGATACTCACGGTGCAGAGGAGGCACCGGGAACTGCTGCTCTGAGGTGTCCCGGATTTCCTCCGGAATGCCAGCCCCGCTGCTCACATAATTGGATGGGAAAATGCCAACCCGGTCTGCGATCATGCCGGTCCACCAGCCCTCATCCCCCGACACCAGGGAGTCTTTGGACAGGACCTCCACCACGTCCCCCCTCCGCAGGCTGAGCTCGTCCTCCGCAGTCGCTTCATAGTCGAACACGGCGGTCCAGAAGCCCGGTGCTGCGGGTGCCGCATCCGGCGCGGCGCTGATGCCATTCTCCGGTGTGGGCCAGCGAAAAACATCTGCCTCTGCTTCTTCCGACGAGGAAACGCACGCCTTAGGACTCAAACTATTGTCCAAAGCGGGTTTGAAGACATCCATGGACGCGATCCATAGGGGCGACCTGGATCACTGCAGGCGCATCCACCTGACGCGGCTGGCTGGCGGCTCGGTGCGCCCTGCGTCTGCACACACACACACGCACAGCTAAGTAGCGGCTAATCCCGCACACAAACACTGCAGGAAAAAGGCAGTGTTCTGCAGCATCGTCTGTCTCTCAGTCGCGGCTGGCTGCTATCAAACACACAGCTCCAGCTTGGTGATTTCCAATGCACAATCCTGCACCCAATCATCGCTGTAACCCCTGCTCTTTATTTTAAGCCAATTGTGCCAACGTGCGAATCATCCCCGGCCTCCCATTGGCCCAGAGACACGTCAGCAGCATCTTAAGCCCCGCCCTCCCCTCAGCGTCAAATGCTAGTCACCCTTCAAACAGTGTGAACCTGCCCGACGCCAATTAAACACACATAAGGGGTTTGTTTTCTTCAAATTGTCTCCTTTATTTAGTTATTGACCCCCTCAGCAAAACAAAAATAACCAAAGAACATAACAAAATACTTAACTAATGTTAAAGTCCATGCACAAGTCCCTGAAATAAAAACAGAATCCAGAACAAGGAGTAAAAAACAGTCAACAAAACAGTCAGATGAACAATCCCAACTATTCAGTGGTGTGATGAGGGGATCAGGTGTGTGTGTGTGTGTGTGTGTGTGTGTGTGTGTGTGTGTGTGTGTGTGTGTGTGTGGTAGTCAAACAGATTCCTAAAGGGTTCAAATATCCTCCCTTTAATTTGACTTTATTTAAAACCACTTCCTGAAAGACACAATAAAATAAAGCCTAACTTTAGTGTGTTGTGACGTCATAAACACTCTGTACACACTGTAGCTTTGAGGACAGCTTCACTCAGCTCAGGTGGAACAAACTGTACAAACAGTAACAGTGATTCACGTTGATCAGTGACGAGCATGGGCCCACTCCAGTCCACATCCTGACACACTTCACCAGGTTCTGTCTGCACATTTAATGTTGGTATTTATATGAATATAGAGACAGGATGTCATCAAGGTAGTCACACAAAGGGGGGAAATAAAGATGGTGACGGATAAGATGACGTGTGGAAGCCTGTTTCTGCCAAGAAAATAAAAATAAATCAAAGTTAGTCATGGTGAAAAATAAAAATGCTTATGGCACGTCTTAGCCTACTATATTGATAGTAGATAGTAGATTGATACAGGCCTTTGTGTCTGAAATAGAATAAAATAGAAATGAATTATATGAAATATATGAAATAGTAAATCAAAATCATGAGATAAATCTAGAATTTAGCTTACAAATTAAAAATGTGGAGCTAGTAAATCACACCTTTGTCCTAAAAAGTCAAAATTATGAAATTAAATAATATTAAATTAAATTTCAGTTTACTGAGAGTGTTTGAAAAATTGTGAGCTAGTAAGTCACACCTTTGTCCTAAAATTCTAACATGTAAAATACTGAATCAAAATTATATAAAAAAAAGAATATTTTAGTTCACTAAGACAGAAGTATGAAATAGTAAATCAAAAGTGTGAGATAAATAAAAATAAAAAATTTAGCCAAGTCAAAATTATGACCTAGAAAGTCACAGGTGTGTCCTAAAAAGTCAAAATAATGAAAAAGGGATTAAAATTAACTTTTAGTTAACTTAGACAAAATTATTAAATAGTAAATTAAAAGTGTGAGATAAATAAAAAGAAATCTTCCCAATATAAAGTCAACATTTACGCGTAATAAGTGACATACGAGTTAGTACGTCATAAGAGATAGTCAGACTTTTGACTTGAAACTATTAAGTTTCAGAGTTAAAATTATGAGCTAAGAAGTGAAAATTCTAGCTTACTGAGTTAAAACTTTGTTCAGTCAATCAAAAGTTCAGGATAAAACATTAAGAGCATGTATGTTATTACAAGAAAATCTGTAAATACTATGTCTAAACTTTATGGCTCGTGATTTTGATTTACAATTTTTATACTCAACATTATGTTTATCATGATTTTTCATTTTTGTTATCATTACTGTTATTATTATTTTATGGCTATTATCATTCGGATTTTTGTGTTTCACTTCTTTATTTTTTTTGCTGTATTAATAAAGTTGACTTGACTTTCTGGGAGAAATGTTCTTGAAAGTTTTACATATCAAAGTGATGAAGTAGTAAATCAAAAACTATGAGATAAATAAAAAATGTAGCTTTCTAAGCCAAATTATGAGCTACAAAGTCACACATTTTGCTTATTAGGTCAAAATTCTGAAATATTATGTCAAAATGATGGAGTATTACTTTAAGATAGTAAATGGAAATTTTGAGCTACAACTCAAAATTTTTAACAGTCAACAATACAGGATAAAAAGTAAAAAATAAAAAAACAAAAAAAAGTATGTTACTAAATGAAAATAATTAGTAAGTCCAAACATGATTTCTTACCTCATAATTTTTATACTTTTAATATTGTTTTGGTTTCAACTTTTCAGATTTCTGGCAGAAATGTCCTTTCATACATAAACATGACAAAGTCAAGATTATGAGCTAGTAAGTCAAACCTTTGGCCTGTTAAGAATTATGAAATAGTAAGTCAAAAGTGTGATTTAAAAAACAAAAATTTCAAAAGTCAACATTTAAGCTTAATCAGAGAAAATTAAATCATAAGAGACAGTCAGACTTTTGACCCTAAGTTAGTAAAATAATGAGCCTTCAAGTCAAATTTTTTGCTTACTAAGTCAAAACTTTGTCAAATGTTGCCAGTGGGATAAAAAGTCCAAAAATTTAGCTTACTATGTAAAAAATGTAAGGTAACATACTTTTGATATTGTTGTTTTTATAATGACTTTTCATCTTTATATTTTTTCTTTTCCTGGCAGAAATGTTCTTTTACACATACATGGGACAGCTGAGGGCACGTTTTGCTTTTGATTTGAACTTTGAACATGAAGCTCTTGTTTTAGACATCGGGCACAATGAGAATGATTTTTTAAAGACGACCTTGTTTTCCATCAGGCAGCGAATGAAGACTGATGTGATCTTGTGAGTCTGAGAGAGAAAGACAGAATTAATCAAAGTGAAAAAGACAGGATGTTATTAAAGTCAGTTATCTTTCATGTACCTGAAAATGCCTGAACAGATTACAAACATCCCTCTACAGTTACTCACTCTGCAGCGCACAGGACAATCGCCTCAGTGCTGGTTTTAAAATACATGTCAAATCTAAATTTGGAATATTCTGTGTTTGCAAATTGTAAACAAAGCTCTGCTCTGGGATACTTTAACAGCAATATGAAAAACACAAAACCACCAAAACAACCCGGAGGCTCTGCTGGATACTGATGCAGATGTGCAGTGAAGTGCAATCAACAGACATGGAGGGCATTCATATAAAGATGTAAGATACTAGACAGAGGACTGGTTTCACAGAGATGGAGTAAAAATATGTTTAAAAAAAATAATGACTAATGCTTTCACTTGGTGTCTGGGGTAGATGGGAAAAGAAAACTGAAACACAAGAGTCATTCCAAATAAAACATATTTCATCTTATCAGTGCCTAAAACCCTGTTTCCTGGAAATATCTGCACCTCCATGTGTCAGACTGGGACGACACACTTGTGCTTTGTTACTGCAACATATTTAAACAGCAGCTTTTTACTGATGCAACACATCACTGTTGTTCTGTGAAAACACCAATTTGGGAGAATTTTTAATCGTTAATCTTGAGTTACAGGATTTTGGTTTGTTTGTGGAAACCTTTCAAAACCTATAATCTAAAACAGTGGTTCCCAACTGGTGGGTCGCAGTCCAAAAGTGGGTCGTGGGTCCATTCTGAATGGACCACATGTGAATCTGAAACGTGTCAAGTTCGTAAAAAGAGCCTGGTCTCACTCTGAAGTCCCTGAAATCAGACGCTTGGGCAGTGACTTGCAGCATCAGGAAACCAACGGAAAGAAGTGTCCTTTGGCGTTCAGCGGCATCAGGGGGAAACGTGGCAGGACAAGAACTAAAGTTAAGGCTGCAAAAGTCCGACTGGGGTGGGTTGGAGGGGTGGTGGATGGGTCCAACGAACACCGACTTTCACTTGAGAGAACGTTGTTCACCTCCTGTAAGATTCTACAGCCAAACCCTGTTCTTTTTTCCTAAACCCAACCATGTGCGTTAGTTGTTGAAGGCAGAAAAAACGTCAGTTTGCCATGTTGTACTGACGTAGTGCTTTTATTTTGAAAACAGAAGTGTATTTTGAAAGAAGACAATACATGTAACAGGCAGAACTTGACACGGCGTCCTAGAACATCAACAACCAACACACCCAGGGTACCTTCAATGTTTAAAAGTCCATGACCAAACGTCGATATGTGACGAGGTCAGAGTGAGAATGTGTTGGTAAAAAACGCACTTTATTGTTAAGTGAAGTGTCGTTTCCTGCTGTAGAGTGAGTGACTAACAAACAGCTACTTCACAGAGACAGCAAACTAGCCCAACGACATGGTGAAACGCAAGTCTGACGCCAAATGTCTCAAACTGTGTGGACCTTGAACTAATGACTAAGGAGAAATCTAGACCCTGTGGCTGCACCAGTTGGGAACCACTGCTCCAAAAAACACAAGTCTGCTTATCGTCATTCCTAAAAAAAAAACACTGGGTGACAGTGACATCATGATACACAGACAGTCAACAGGAGTCAGAGACACATAGTCAGGCTCGATTTAAGTCAGTGCAACCAGTGTTTGCTTATGAACCAGAAAGCTGCTTTTATTCCACATCAGTAAAAGAACAAAAAACGTGTTGATCTCAAAAACACCGTCAGCTTTGGAAATATGCTTTTTTATTTTTGACATCTCATTGCAGGCCAGGAAAAACATACCCATCCATTAAAATGTGCCCCTTTTCTGTTACACAAACAAAAAGTTAAAAGAACAGTGTTCACCTGTCGATGAAGCTCTCCTCAGTGTCCAATTCTATTTCACTTATATCCCACAGGCTGAGAAAAAAAAAACGGACTGGTGCCTTGAGAGGTGGTGTGTATGATAAATATTTTCCCACAGAATTAAGACATGTATCTTTAAGACAGAATGACAGCTGAGAGTGGTGCCCTTTGTGAGGAACAACACCGCCTGTGCACACGGGTGCGAAGAGGACGCACAGCCTGGCAACATGCACAGCACACAAACACACACCGGCCGACGTTCAGCTTCGACACATCCCCGCAGATACAAACCAAGAGTACAACCAAAGAAACAAACAGCCACAAAAGGCCGAGATAAAATTAA